TGATCCCACAGTGAGGAGATTCACTTGTTACAGCAGGACAAACAGTTGGAGAATAATTCAAAGAAAAAATAAAAACAAAAGTACATATATGTATACACATAAGCAGTAAGCTTATGGGGGCAGCAGTAGCTCAGGTGGTAGAGCGGGTTGCCTCATGATCGGAGGGTCATGGGTTCGATTCCAGCTCCCGCCAGGGGTATCCTGCTGTTGTGTCCTTGGGCAAGGCACTTCACCCAACTTGCCTGTGTTAGTGGTGGTCAGAGGGGCCGACGGCGCCAAATGGCAGCCTCGCCTCTGTCAGACCTCCCCAGGGCGGCTGTGGCTACAAGTAGCCTACCATCACTAGCAGTGTGTGAATGTGAGAGTGTGTGAAAGCGTCTTTAAGTGTCTAGAAAAGCGCTATATAAGTTCAATGCATTATTATTATTAAGCTGTCATTGTAACCTTTGAACAGTAAATGCATAACATTTCATTTTGTGAAATGCACAGTATTAAAATCAAACATTCCTCAACTATTAATTAAACCCTTTTTTTGCACCTGACTTAACAGAAGCATCGTAGTAACATGACCCTCATTTCTGAGACTTTCTAGAAGGACAATTGCAGATTTGCCTGACTTTAAATCATGTCTACTAAAGAAGTAACTTGGCCAATACCGATGTGTGAAAGGTGTTTTTCAGCCCTATCAGTCAACCAATATACATATGATTAGCCCCTTCATGTTCTAAGGGTTTTCAAGTATTTTAGATATTTAGCTAGGTTTTTATTTTGTTTGCTATTATTGATTTTTTTTCTTTTTGATCCTAGTGTTATTGGTGTCTTGTCTTTGGTTTATTTGTGCTGTGATCAGCGCTTTGGATCCCCCTTGAGGGTGATGGAAAGCACTATCCAAGTAAAGTTTGATTGATTGGTTGATTGATTGATTGATTGATTGATTGATTGATTGATTGATTGATGTATCCATCAACCCCCCTATTAATTCAAATCATGTTGGTGAAGAAAAACATAGAAAACATCTGGGTAATGATCCTCCAGGACCGGATAGCCCTTGCTTACAGGAATGGAGCATTTTGATGAGATAAGACAGGTCATGATAATAAAACTTTTTATTTTTGCTTTGTGTGGTGCATCTTTACTAACACAATAGTAGTTGTAGTGAAAGTTTTGTTTTACTATGCTGTCCAGTCAAAGTTGGTAGTTCTGTGTGATTTTGTTTTGTGTTTACCATTATATCACAGTCCAAGGTGATTTCATGGAGTGTTAGGTGATTTTCTGAGTTTCAGAAACAAAACTTTAGTACTTTACTGCTGCTGGGGTTTTGCTCTAAACGCAGCATGAGCTCAGATAGACAAAAGAGAGGCAGCCGTCATGAAAGGCAATCTTTATGGTGCACCTTCTTATAACTTCCTACGGCATCTTTCTTTTTAAGTTCGAACTATTGTTATTTCAACACTTTTGACAACTTTTTTCATAAAATGAATAAATTCAAGGATAATATAAAAAAGGGAAAAAAAACCTTGGAGAGCAGGGTGGAGAGTGAGACAGAATGCAAATGCTTTGATGATCAAGGGCATCGCTTGTCAAGAGAAGGCCATAAAAACAGATATTATGCACCCCCGCTCCTCATTTATCTCTTTAGCAATCTGTCTTTTCTTTTTTCGGCAGCTTCACTTTATTCCTTTTCCCCTTCATAAGTCGTTTAAGTATTTTTTTTTCAACTGTTGAATCCAAAATGGTAGCACATAAAACACAGAAGCAGAGGAACAGGAGCTCCCTAAGTGTTCATTAACGCCTCGTTAGCATTGGAAATGAACATCACAAAAAAGGGAATGACTCAGGATTGGGATTCAACTAATGAGCTCAAACTTTATTTCCTTGGCTTTTTACTCAGCCATATGGAAATATTCAAGTTCAGTTGACTTTATATAAGCCAAAAGGGCACCAATTCTTTACTCAAGATGCATTTTCAGTGCTAAGCTGAATTTGTTTTTGGAATGCTGCACCAAAAATCTTTATAGCTGTTTTTGCTGGCTTGTTTTCACACCTCTAATGCCACCACAGGGCCTTTTTGCTACTATTTTTCTGCTCTCACAAAGCAGCAGTGCTGTTTAGTGACCAGCAACTGTCCTTGGTCAAGGTGGGTAGTTTATTTTAATAAAGGAAGCTTTTTTTTTTCCTTCCTTCAAGGAGGAAAAGCAGCACTTCATCAGCTGAAGCTGTAGTCAAATCCAGTTAATTACGTAACCTTATTGACTTTTTATCTTAATGAAAATAGCAATAGCGGTAGATGAGGATATAAATGTGTAATTTTACAGCATGCAAAAGGTAACATGATAAATGATGACATCACTACATGTATGAACAGAAGGAATAAAAATATGTGCCCATTGCACTGAATATTTCCATCACTCTTTTTCTCAAATGCATGGGCTTCTTCCTTTGTGTGATTTAGGAGTGCAACACAGGAAATGTGCATTTACTTTCCGGGGTGTTTGACCCGTTTTAGCCCTGAGCAAAATAAGGATATTGTCTCTAAAGCATTAGCTTATTTCAATTCTCTTTTTTCTCTGAATGTGTATATAGCATGTTGTCAATTAAGACATTTTATTTGTGGCGTTTTAATCAGCAGGTGGAAGTGTGAGTCACTCAACAATACTCACTGTCCAACTGTGCTCCTGATTTATCAGTATGTACTTCATGCTCTCTTTCAAATGGCCCATTGTGGCATTCGCTCCTGATTAAAGACCTATTTATTCCACACACACACACATCTCATTCCTCTTTTGCCTGTCAGCAGTGTTTCATTAGAACATTCTTGGACGTTTGTTGCCAGTGTATGTTTTTGCTTTAGCATCTACTCCAAGCAGCAGCAGGGTGAGGTCCTTGAAGTCATTTATAAGAGAATTGGCTTTGACAGCAGCAACAGCGGCTAGTCTGGCTTTTGTGTTCTCCCTTTGTTGCCCATGTTCTTTGATTCTGCGTTGGGAAAAAAGAAAAACAAAGTCATATTAAAACTTTTTTTTATTCACCCCCTCCTGTGCTTTCTCCCTTTGAATTTCTAGCATTTCTTCATTTGCGCTGGTCTTCTACCTTCTTTCCAGTTGTAACCTGGTGTCTTTTACTCACCTCTCTTAGGCAGTACTACGAGATGCTGTACAACACTGCAGATGAGCTGTTGAACCTGGTGGTGGACCAGGGTGTTCGCTACACAGAGCTGGAGTACATCAACGCGCTGTCGTTACTCCATCGCAGTCAGACAGGTGTTGGGGACCTGAGCACCCAGAACACTCGCCTCCAGAGGCTGAAGGAGATCATCTGTGAGCAGGCCGCCATCAAACAGGCCACCAAGGACAAAAAGATCACCACAGTGTAGCAATAAGACATGATAGAACATGCAGGATGGATGGATTTGAATTAGATACATGTTTGACATCAGAGTTTGAAAATCTATGGGTCGATGGATTTTGTGGGTTTTTTTTTTTTTTTTTGCATATTGTCATAAAAAGGATTGGAGTTCAGGACTGATATAGAAATACATCCTTCCCAGATTATGTAAGAGCCCATGCCACACTGACTCACTCTAATTGGGAAATGAAGTGACAACCCTACATAACTGCAAACCTTGCACGTCAAGTTCCTATATCAGGTAACTTAAATTGTCAGCTTCCACTTTTTAAAAAGACATAACAAACACGCTCTGCATGCCAAAACTGGGAACAATCCTCAGCTCTCCATAACAACAGCTCCAGTTAAGAAGAGACCGTCTAGGACAGTCGCCTGAACTTGGGCCCTATCTCATCTCATTTTCCTATTATATCCAAACTGCTGCTCTCAATTACACCTTTATCTGTCCTCTCCTGCCAGCCCCATGGGCTCACTGATTCTGTCTGCAATAACAGATGCCAGATTAGACTGCCTGAATGAGGCCACATCTTCCGCCTGCTGCCAATTTAGGCTGGCCCCAAAAGAGTTCCCTTACTGAGAATTGTATTATATCTGTAGTTGTTGAAAATCTGTTTATCAACCTGCTTTCCTGGAAGTTTGTAAAACTTTGTAAACCTGGAAACTATCATTGTCTTTATTATTAATAACATACAATGACTTGCCATTAAAAAGGATTCCCCTCCATTTTTTTTTCAACTCATTAACGTCACAGAGAAGTATTTAACGAGTGGAGTAGAGAGAAACTGGAGTTCTGTCAATACAGCACGCCCAGCACAGGTCTCCTGGAAGCCCACAGTGCAATCCATCATAATGACGCATAGGCTGAAATCGATGGTAAAACAACAATGAAGCTGCTGAGTGATTCGCCCATCTCTCTGAAAAGCACACTTGGTGTAAAATCTGAAATTTGCTCACTCATCTGTTCACTTCAAAACTACTTTTACTGGCTAATATATGAGGAACTTTAATATAATGGTAACCAACTGACTTCCCAATATGTGCTATTTTCAGCCCTGTCTCTGCAGAAATCGTTTATATAGTATGTCCAGAAGGCTAATGTGTGTATCATGCATTCAAATCAGAACCACTCCGTTATTGATTAAACACCTTTTTTTGGTTATAGATCACTTGTTTCTTTAAAAAAAATACTCATTTTGCACACGTTTGATGTTATTACACATTTCACTAAAGAATATCTGCTACATTAAATAGCTTTTGGCGTGAACTCATTTAAATTCCACAGTAATTGTTTCTCTGCTTGTCTTTTCTTTTAAAATTCTCTAGAGAAATTACATTTGACTGTGTCTACACTAATAAAGAGCAGAAGAAAATAATGTCTCCTAAATGTGCATCTGTTCTGTGTGTTTTTATTCTTGCATAGTTGTCATATTTTCCACTTGGCTGGCTGTTCGTTCTTTGACAATGTGTCTTGATGAAGTTGCTTCTGTCCTGTTTCTCAAGAGCCAGTCAGATCTAAAACTAACACCCAATAATGCACTTAAACTGACAGGTGTGTGATGTGCAGTATGACATGACTTGAGGCACAAATTGCTTCGAGTGTGGCATGTGGAGAAAATAAACAGACGGCCTGAAAAGGTGTGCTGATGCTGGCATAAATCCATGCAAGGATTTATTTTTTTGCCGAGTACAAAACAGTGTTTATACAACTTAGTTGTCAGTAAATGAAAAACTAAATGTTCCACATGATTGGCTTTAAAAAAACGTCATGGGGTGGATCGTTTTTAGTCGATTTAATTTATTTTTTTCATCTGAATTTCAAGATTATATTTGTTGATTTTTTTCTGCTGACAATTAATTGTGTAAGATTTGGAAGTGTGTTTTTATTAGAGATGTGTTAATGTAAATCCGTCGAATCAAAATATAGTGGGTAGACTACATCCCCCACAACACCTTTCTGCTCAATAGTAACTCGGTTGCCTAGCGACAGCAGTTTTAGAGTGAGATGTTGCTAGCTTACTAGCTAGGTGTTTAAGTCTTTTTAGCGTAGCTCTAACCTTTCAGCGGTGACTTTAGGGCCAGAGAAAATGAAGCGAAGCTTAGAAAGAAGCTTGACTTTCCCCTTATTGAGTGACAGCAACCCAGCGTCCGCCACCGAGACGCCCAGCGGAGAGCTACAGGGACAATTCAAGATGGAGGTAAAGAAATTAGTTGGTTAATAGCTTGTGGCCCAACAGTTTCTGACTTCCTGTAATTTTGTGACTTTTACAAATAAATACTTTACTATAGGATCTCAAAGAGCATGGGCTGCTATATTAAATATGCGTACACTATTTATTTGCATTGTCATTCATATTCAGCTTGTTTTGAAATGTTTAAAGTAGCTAACCATGTTGCAGGAAGTCTGGATAATTAAAACTGCCCAGCAAGGTCAACTGGTTGGCTTAATTGCAAATTGTTAAAGCTGCATTACACAGCAGTTCAAGTGTGAAGCATCTTGTTTGAGATTTCATGTGTTATTCATGAATAAATGTTTACAAATGCTGTTTATGTTTAGGAAGCAGGTAGCACTGGCGTCATTAACATGTCCTGCAAATACAGCTCTGTGAAAAATCTCCGTAGGCAGATTTTATTTATTGTTGTTTCCAGACAAAGATAGCACGAGTAGGTCAAATACAAAAGGTAGTTTCCATAATGGTGATTATTACGGGAAAAAAGGTTACCTAAATCTACTTGGACCTGAGTGGAAAAGAGCATCATGAATCAACCGATAAGCCATTTTATTTTTAAAAATGAGTTCAATTTCACCAGCCAGATTCAAGCCTGTTTACTGACAGATATTTGTGATTATTCATTTCAAAATAATGATAAATGACCTGTACTTATATTGCAGCTTTCAGTCAGAGGACTTCAAAGCGCTACATTCACGCACATATTCCCACACTAATGGTGATGAGCTACATTGTAGCCACAGCTCCACTGGGGCACATTGACATGGTCCACTAGGGTCCGGATCCATCCACAACCCTCCAATTTTCTGGACAACCCGCTCTACCTCCTGAGCTGCTGCTGCATACATGAGCAAATCTGTATGTGATAGGCTTTAGAGAGGCAAAGTCCTAGTCAGGGATCTGGATTGGGATGATGTGGCATCAGTCCGTTTATGCTCGAAAGCCCTCCTTATTAAGAATTTAGTATAATTTAGATCCTCCACAATGAGACTCTTTACCAGTTATAACAAATGTTGGACTGCAGCAGTTGCCAACAAGGGTGTTGCAACCAATTATGTTTGGGGTTACTTTTGGACTTAAAACAAAATTGTTTTAGAGCTTTTTTCCACTTAATAAATGCAAATTGCAGTTTGTGTTTATGCAGGTTAACTCTTTTGCATGACAAAATTAGTTTGCTGAACTGAAACATTTAAATGGAAATGAAAAGACAAAAACAGAAGACTTGCACCTGTAAAATTTGGCTGAACTTTGTTTTTCTTGTCTCAAAGGCTGATGTTCTAACTGATGAGATGGTGTCCAGAGGGTTATCCAGATCTGGTTCTTCTCGCTTCTTCAAAATCTCTTTTCCTGTGAGAAACTCATAGACATGCTTTTTAAATACAACAGATGTTTAACTGCAAGTTTGTTTATTGTCCAGCTGAGACCAGTAAGCATGTGATCTAAATCATATCGTGATTTTATTAGTTTTCAGAGTATTTTTGTAATAATAATTTTAAATGTCATTTTCTTTTTCTTTTTATTTATTTTTTGCTCAAGAATCTCAACTTGAAGGATATATCAGTGTTACACAAATATGTCTACCTTCAAAAGCTCGAACTACCAAACAACAGAATCAAAGGTAACGTTTGTCACTTCTCTTTCATAGCAATAGTAACCCGAAAAACTTAAGTGTGTGTGTTTCAGTCAGTGGGTTTTTTATGGAACAACATTGAAGAAATAATAAAATTAAATATAAATATTTTGCAATTAAAAATGCATACAAAGTTATTTTCACCAGATATAGAAAAGAGGAAAAATGATATCTGACTGTTGTTGTGCTCTGATATTATTATAACCTCGTTTTTATGCTCTGACATAATCATTACGTGTGTGTGTGTTTGTGTGTGTGTGTGTGTGTGTGTGTGTGTGTGTGTGTGTGTGTGTGTGTGTGTGTGTGTGTGAGAGAAGTTAATAGGGGAAATATGCCCATATATGCAGTACTTTGATATCATTCGAATAACTAATTTAACCACAGTAAGGCAGCTTTTTTTACAGTAAACTTTTTGTGAATCATTTTTATATTTTTAGTTTGCATTTGTAGCAATTCAATATTTACTCAAAATAAAAAAGCAGTATGCAGCCTAAAATGGGACTTGAAATGTGATAATTTGCTCTAATTTAAATAGTTTTCTCTTGTTGTTAGATCTATCCTGCTTAAGCCACACACCCTATCTTGTCATCCTGGATTTGTCTGGCAATGAAATCTACAACTTCTTTGAATTCCAGCCTCTGCAGTACCTACGGGTAACAAGACCTTGAGCTGACAGGATAAGACAATATTTGATTGCTGGCATGGGCCTCACTCTCTAGCGTTATTCCCCCAAGATGGGCCTGGATTTCCATAGCCCATCTGTAGTCACTCTGAATATGCTTACAAGGCCTTTACTGTCCTTGAATGGCAGCGAACTTTAGCAAAAATCTTTTTCAAACTGTGATCTCAGCTCACATTCAGTCAAAAGTTTGTCTTCAGTAATGTGTGCTTTAGGTTTTTTCTATATTTTGTTCTCTAGGAGGTCAATTTGTCCCACAATCGAATGACAAACATGAAAGATTTGTCAGGATTTGTATCCCTTTGTAAGCTGAATCTGGACCGTATCCTTTAGAAATGATCTCAATTCACGTGAAATTCATTTTACCACCTTCTTAAGTCGTGATGCTTCCTGGTAGTTCTAATCTTTTTCAGGTTTTTGACCAGAAAAGCAAAGTTTTATTTCAGAAAATCAGATGAATGTATAACAGGTGTTTGCGTTGATTTCTTAACATTTTTGTGCTCAGACAATGGCTTCTGTGAGATTAGCGGTCTTGAACAATGCTGCAGACTCACCCATCTCAGTCTGGCACATAACAAGGTCACAAAGATGAGTGGCCTGGATGGTCTGCCTCTCACACACCTCTGCCTCGTGAGTTTGCTTTTTTATGACATTCACAGGCTGGAATATTTATTCTAAAACAAACCGGAAGTGTGATTTGTTTTCCCTTTGCCTTTGGAGGTATTTTGTTGAAAGGTATTGAGGTGTTTGTAGGCTTTTTTTTTTACCCCTTCCTGTCTCTGTTGTCTACTGCACACACACTGTTATCATATCTTACCATTTTCTTTTAATCTCCTTTCTAATTGCAATCAATCAATCAATCAATCAATCAATCAAAATCATGTCAGGAGAAAGGTCTCTCTATCCAGTCCTTTGTGTCCTGTCTTAACGAGGTAAAGTCTTGGCTAATGGCCAACTATCTGCATCTGAATGGGAAAGACGGAGCTCATTGTTTTTCACCCCAATAACGCTATTTGCACTATTTGAATTGCTTTTTTCCCCGATTTATTCATAATGTTTCACATTTGTCATGTACCATGTTCAGTGCCTTGGGCTTCCCAATAGGGAAGGCGCTTTATAAATAAAGCTTTGATTGATTGATTGATTGATTCATTGATTGATTGATAATTGTATTCTCCTAATGTTTTATTTTATTAGTTTAATGTTTAGCTTATTTGAAATCTTGTCCCATTATTAAAATAACAAGGCAGTTATCATATGTATCTATTGAATGCATTTGAAAACTCTTTGATTTCCTCTTTTTTGTGTGTGTGTGCTGTTACATGTGTTTCTGGTCATTTATCAGTGTTTTCTGATAGTCAGCAGCCATCAGGCTGGCAGCATCTGCTGCTGTCGGTCTGCTTTGGAACCAGATGTTGATATTTGAGTGAAACTGGACATAATTCAGCATGCTCATGTGCCGTATCCATCCAGCTTCCACCCATTCGCATTCCTGACCCCCGCTCCTCTCAAGCACACTCCCTAAACAGAACGTCATTGTCAGCCGACCTGTTACCCAGCTCATCACAGCACTGAGCCAGTGCTTCAAGGGACCAGCACGGTCACTCACTCCCGCTGTCAGGAACCTTCTGCCTGGCAGCACACCTGGCAAGAGTAGTGTGAGGTGTGGCCAAATCACTAGATAACAACCCATTGTCAATGAAAGGGAGTGAAAATCAAAACGACAAAACAGGAGTGCCCAGGTCTTGTTCCTTTGTTAGTTAGCGTGCTGAGCTAGCACCTCGCCAGCTGTTCAGCTGTTAGAGCTGCCACTCATCCTAGCAATGTGGAGGTCCAACAATTAAGAAACCAACGCATTTTAATTCTCAACATTAATTATTGAGACAATATATATGCACCTAACTTCTTTATTTGTGTTTTGCTCCCATCTGTGTTTAGAAAGGGAACCAGATAAAAAGAGTTGCAGGGTTGGAGAACACAAAACATCTGCATGTTCTTGATTTGTCTGTGAATCATATCACCAGACTTTCAGGACTCAAGAACCTCCATCTTCTAGGCTCCCTCAACCTGGAGAAAAACCAGGTATTGATCAGAAAAATGGCAGAAGTTAACTCTGTAAACAAACTATGCAGATATGTCTTTTTATATGAACTCTAATGTTAAACACGGCTCCTCCTGAGTCGGTCAAATATTTTCCACATGCAAATGATTGTTTCACAGCAGAATGATGGAGGTCATGATGGGAAATATTCTGACAACCCTTTTCCAGATTGACAGGCATACAAAGTGCTTATCGATGTCTTTCCTGCTTGGCATTGTGACCAACAGCCTGCGAAACTTTGCTTTTATATAGACACTCACACTTAGATCCTTTAATCAAGTGCACCTGGCTGTTCTTTAGCTTTAATAACTAATCATTTATTAACATTGTTTTTTAATTTATAATGTCAGATCAGGGAAATACAGGAATTGGAGCACAACAAACTTCCTCTGCTGAGAGACCTCAACCTGCAGGGGAACCCTGTGCAGGTACCCTGAATCTGTTCCCACAACAATCCTAATCCCTGAGAATGCAAGTAGAATTCTGTTCATGGTTGATCTTACCTTCTTTTCATTGATGTTGTTGTTGATCTGGTAACATTTGTATTTATTCAGCATGGGAGTTATAATTTTTATCATGTAATTGGCAGGGCATGACTGACTACAGAATGGCCGTAATTTTCCTCTTTCAACATCTGACAATCCTGGACCAAGTGAAAATCAGCACAGAAGAAAAGGTGTGACAAAGTTACATTTTAAAAATTGTTATTATTATATTCTATTTATGTGTTGATCACACATTTTAATACTAGATCATGTCATATCCCAGGTGGCCTCTGTAAACAAGTTTCACCCTTCGATGGACGTTCTGGCATTCAGGGATCACATGACCAACTTAGTTTATCAGCTGACACAGCCACAGGTCCTATATGACAGGTTTGTACAAATATTTACTGTTTTGACATTTCTATTTGTTACATTGCCTGAAATTACCTGATTAAAAAATAAAGTTTATGTTGAATAATAATCCATAAGTGTTGTTTAGGAAGTGCACTAATATTAAAAAAGGCTTTAAAACAATCCGCAGGCAACATGACATGAAATGATAGCCACAATATTTGTGCTGTACAATAAAATACCCAGAGAGTAGAGTAGCAGTTTATCTACAGATAGCTTGTTATCTACTTTCTCAAAGGAGAAAAAAAAAGTCACATACAAGCAATTTAAAAAAAAAACATCTATCATCAGCAAATAAAACCTGCAGCTACGCTCAATTTACTATTCAGCTCTGCACTCACTAGCAGGAGCACATCCATACTGCTCAACAAGCTCCTGTTTATATTGACTCTTAAGAACAATGAGGTTTTAACGCTGGCGTCATGGTGTCGCACACTACAGTTAAAAAAGGAAGATAACTGCTGTTGAAGTTAAGAATGTACATGCAAAATGTGTGTGTGTGTGTGTGTGTGTGTGTGTGTGTGTGTGTGTGTGTGTGTGTGTGTGTGTGTGTGTGTGTGTGTGTGTGTGTGTGTGTGTGTGTGTGTGTGTGTCATGCAAAATGTGTGTGTGTGTGTGTGTGTGTGTGTGTGTGTGTGTGTGTGTGTGTGTGTGTGTGTGTGTGTGTGTGTGCGCGCGCGCGCGCGTGTGCGTGTGTGTGTGTGTGTGTGTGTGTGTAGTACACAGCCTCTCTATCCTGTGCTGGTGCTGACGGGCCCTGACGACTGTGGTCAAAGACAACTGCTTCACAGATTGTGTCAAGAGTTTAGTGAATACTTCGGTTTTGGGTCAGTCACAACATTTTTGTTCACGTTCAAAATATATATTAATTCACATTTAATCAATAAAAAGGCCAAATAGACTCACAAACATTTTTAAGATATTTCATGTCAAATTCAAATAAATACACGCACGCATGCATGCATCATGATGTCTTTGTAAGCTGTTTTAGTGCTGAATCTTGATTATTGCGCTCTTATATAATCACTACAACACAAGAAATAAATGGTAAAAGCCTGTATTTATATTGCACCTACCTAGGGTTCTAAACCCCCTAAGGCACTTCACAACACAATCAGTCATTCCCTATTCATACACACATTCACAAATAACTCACTTCCAATAAAATACAGAACTATAATTTCAAGAGGGGGGCTAAATGTAAAAACACACTGTACCAGAACAAATGCAAAAAGTAAATGTATCTCAAAAACAGGGGTTAAATAATGGAATAAAGTAACAGAATAAATAAAAGAGTGAAAACAGAAATCAGTTTAAATTAAGATAAAAACATTCCATCCATCCATTTTCTTCCGCTTATTCGGAGTCGGGTCAGGGAGGCAGCAGCCTAAGTCGAGAGGCCCAGACTTCCCTCTCCCCAGCCACTTGGACCAGCTCTTCCGGGGGAATCCCAAGGCGTTCCCTGGCCAGGTGAGAGGCATAGTCCCTCCAGCGTGTCCTGGGTCTACCTTTAGTCCTCCTCCTGGTTGGACGTGCCTGGAAAACCTCACCAGTGAGGCATCCAGGAGGCATCCTAATCAGATGCCCGAGCCACCTCAACTGGCTCCTCTTGATGTGGAGGAGCAGCGGATCTACTCTGAGACCCTCCTGGGTGACCGAGCATCTCAACCTAACTCTAAGGGAGAGCCCAGCCACCCTGCAGACGAAACTCTTTTTGGCCGCTTGTATCCGCAATCTTGTTCTTTCGGTCACTATCCAAAACTCATGACCATAGGTGAGGATTAAATGGTAAATCGAGAGCTTCGCCTTCTGGCTCAGCTCTCTCTTCACCATGACAGACCGGTACAATGCCCACATCACTGCAGACACAGCACCAATCTGCCTATCGATCTCACGCTCCAGCTTTCCCTCTCTCGTGAACGAGACCCTGAGATACTTAAACTCCTCCACTTGGGGCAGGACCTCATCCCTGACCCGGAGAAGGCATTCTACCCTTTTCCGAATCAAGACCATGGTCTCAGATTTAGAGGATCTGATTCTCATTCCAGCTGCTTCACACTCGGCTGCAAACTGTTCCAGCAAAAGCCAAAGATCGCCTTCTGATTAAGCCAACAGGACCACATCATCTGCCAAAAGCAGAGACCTGATTCTCACGCTACCAAAACAGATCTCCCCAACACCTTGACTGTGCCTAGAAATCCTGTCCATAAAGGTTATGAACAGAATCGGTGACAAAGGGCAGCCTTGGTGGAGTCTAACTCTCACTGGGAACGAGCTCAACTTACTGCCGTCAATGCGGACCAAGCTCTGACGCTGATCATACAGGGACCTAACAGCCCGTATCAGAGGGCCTGGTACCCCATACTCCCGAAGTAACCCCCACAGAACCCCTCGAGGGACGCGGTGGAACACCTCCAAATCCACAAAACACATGTAGACTGGCTGGGCAAATTCCCACGCACCCTCCAGGATCCCCCTAAAGCCGGGCGTACACTGTGCGACTTTTTCACTCGTAGCATTCAGCTTCAGCTCAAACTGTACGACTTCCTCGCAGGGCAGATCTCACGAGTCGTGTGCTCACACTGTACGACCCAGTTCTCGGATGCGACCTGACTGCTCACACTGTACGTCTGGTAGCAACACGTCGGCCCTAAAAATGTGCTAAAAATAGCAGTTTTTACTCAACATGTCAGACTTTTTTGTCTTGCCTGTTGTCCTTCGGGAGTGCTGCAGGAGGACACACAGGGATTTATGGGGGTTGGATGAGGAAAACGAAATAAAGAAAGTAAATCTGTGTTTAGTGATCAGTTTAATTTGACATGAACACGACAAACACGCTTTCTTGACAATTTGTGAGTAAAAAACGTGTAGAAATTAAAACGAACAACGTGTGTTATTAGGGAAATAGCGAGCGAGCGGTGTTGATGCAGGAATGCGCATGCGCCGTGAGCGGTTCTGGTACTTTTTGGGTCGCAGCTGCTCGCAGCGCCGCTTCAACAGTGCGATACCCTCACGAGGGACGAGCAAAATATCAAACACTCCAGAAGTCTGTGCGAGCTCACGATTGCCAATCGGTAGCTGGTCACGTGGTGTTAATCGCCTCTCGTAACCCCCAGTACACTACACGACCGCTCGGCGCAAAACTCGCCCCGATCTCGTGGATTCTCGCACGAGTGGAAAATCGGCTCAAAAAGTGAAAAAGTCGCACAGTGTACGAAGGGTATAGAGCTGGTCCAGTGTTCCACGGCCAGGACGAAAACCACATTGCTCCTCCTGAATCCAATCCAAGATTAAAAAAATATTTAAATAAATATAAAGATGGAGAGAGTTAAACCCAGGGTGGGAATTTAAGTTCTGTTCTTTATTCTGTTGCTTTATTTGAAAATTGGTTATTTTGTTTATTTTGTCATTTTAGTTTAAAAGGAATTATTGTGTTTGGTTTTTGCATTTGCAAATTGAAAAACTATTTCTAGTGAGGGATATATTATATCAAAGGGCCAAGTAAGGTCATACTTCTGCCTTCTCCATTTTCAAACAAAAGAATTAAAACCAAAGTTTGCTTACTCTACCAAAAAGTAAACGACATCATCTTCAAACGGGTGGAAAAAGTTCCTGTTAAGGCTCCGACTCTCATCTGGTAGTACTTCTGAGGATAGGCTGTGGTGCCACTTAATGGCTCTCCTTCATTGCTACCAGATTTAGAATTATATTGTATTTTCTAAATCAAATGTGTTTGAAATGACACAAGCAATCTCTAAGATGGCTACAGAACACTGGATCTAATAAGTGTTAGACTGCCTTCCAGTAATGAGCGGTGATGTTCAGACTTTTTTTTATCATATTAAAAAACATCCAACAGAACAAAGTGATAGGATTAATGCTGTATTTGTATTGATTATTAGGATTGCAGTTGTTTCTCTGATCAGAAATAATAATAATATGTTTTCCCAGCATCTGCCACACAACTCGGAAACCATATTTTGGAGAGAAAAATGGATTTGATTACCATTTTGTTAGTGAAGAAGACTTTCAGAACATGATTCACATGGTGAGTTTTTTTAATTTGCTCATTTTTGCAAGAGACAATTTTCACGTTATTTTTTGGTTTATAAACTCAGTAGTTTTTTTGTCTGTGTCATGAATCATTCATCAATGTTAACACCCGTCTATATTTCAAACTACTCTTTAAAGTGCATGCGAATGTGTGTGTGAATAGATGAATGATCAGGGTATCCACGGGTCCTTAAAAAGTCTTAAATTTGCTTTTCCAAATTTAAGGCCTTAAAAATCTTTAAAAATTACTAATAATCCTTCAATACAGTTTCCAAAGTCTTAAATTACCAAAGACCCAATAAAAGAGATTAGTTTATTTCTATAAAATTTTTGTGATTTTCTAGCTGGTGTTCCACTTTTTTGTGTACGATGTTGGCGTAAGCGAAACCGTACACATTCAGTTGGTTGTGAAAGGGGGCTATTTTTAGATGAGCACATTAGCTGGTTAAGCTAGTGGGAGCTTGCGCCATGGGGAAGTGCAAGTTTAATAGCAACTGGATGGCTAATCTCACGTTCGCGACGTGGTTAGCACCGGTTCCAGGCAATAGCTGGAAATGATAGCTTAAATTTAATTTTAAAAATTGCTTAAATTTGGTCCAAGTGGCCTTAAAAAAGGTCTTAAAAAGTCTTAAATTTGGCTCCCTTAAACCTGTAGATACCCTGATGATACACTGTGATGTAAAGCGCTTTGGAGTCCTCTGACTCTGAAAGGCTCTATACAAGTGCAGGTCATTTGTCATAAAGCTGTGTTTTTAGTGTGCTGGATTCACACACCTCCTTCAGCAAGTTTCAAATTGATTTCACTCACTTGGCTGTGATGAGTCGTGTTGTTGAGATAATTAGTTTTCCTTGGGTGAATTGATTTTACTTTAACTGGCAGATTTTTTTCAACGATACCTTTAACTGAATGGAGCCTTTCTCCAAAGCTTCAAGGGACACACGGGATTAATTTAATTTCAGGATGAGTTATTAAAACATCTCTTACGACTCTTTCACAAAGCAAGCAATAATTAATAGTCTGGGACAGCTGGCAGGGACACCGCTCGACTTTAGTCAGACTCCTCATGAAGTGGTCTCAACCCCGACTGTTGTGACTCAAAAACGCTAAAACTGAATCTGAAAATCCTTCTTGGTCAGGTGTCTACCATCCAAGGACGCATTTGTTTTTCATCTTGTCTTCCATGCTGGCCGCTGTTTAAATCTGTTGGATCATTATTTATGGAGGATTTAGTCTTAGAGTGATTTACACAGGAAGGGCTTTGATGCAGGTGTTGATGTTTTTTCTCTATCAGATGGTAACTTTACAGTCTGGCCCAACCTCCATTGGATACGTGACTTTTCCCCCTCCTCTTCTCTTTTGTCTTACATGTTTTATTACTGTCCTGTCCTCAATTCTTCCTCTTCATGCCCTCATCATTTATGTGTCAGCTGCTTCCTCTTAGCCTCAGATGTGCATTTATGTAGGGAACAAAATAATCTTTTTATTCTTTTTTTAAGAATCAGAACATTTATTACAAGTTTCTTTTAATGTCCCTAAACTGAATTTTGCATGTTCCCTGCTGCTTGATGTTGGGAACTAAATGTAATTTACTCACAAGCATCTTGAAAGTAGTGTGATTTCTTCTTCTATTGCTGAAATAAAACAGCTTCAGAAGGAAAGCTGTCAAAATGTTTTTTGGGGGGGGTTGTCACATGTCAGAGAAGACTGAGATTTTTTTGCCCCAATTTCTGGGTCAAAAGGTCACTTCCCAGGTTGTCAGATGACTTGAGGTTTTTAAGCCTGACAGAACTTTAGCTGCAGAGCTGCTGGAGTTTTGTGTCTGTTGTCCATTTAGATAATTTGAGATTATGATGATTAAATAAAACATTAATCTGTTTTTATTTTTATTAAAACCCAAAATTTGCTGTTAGGGTAAGTTTGTCCACACCATGAAGTACGGGGATCACCAATTTGGCCTCAGCAGAGACGCTATAGAGTATGTGGCCAGAGAAGGGCTGGCCTGCTGCGTGTCCCTAGAGCTGGAGGTACTCATCTGTTGATGCATGTTTAAGGTTTAAATAGCCATACATAAACTTCATTAAACCTAAGCCACATTGATCTGAATATTTGTGAGGTTTTCTTAGTTATTGAAATAAAATCTAAGACTGTTTTTGTCTTGATTCAGAGTCTGTTGAGATTTAGGAAGAGCTACTTTGAGCCTCGATGTATCCTGCTCTTACCAACTCAGATGGAGACGTACAGGAACACGTTGAGCAGCCGGGAACGCTACACCCCCGAACAGATCGAAGCTGCTGTGTCTCGTTTGGAGCTCTACGCCAACATCCACACACAACGCCCAGGATTCTTCGACTGCGTGATCCCATGTGGTATCAGTAAAATAAATTGTCTCTGTTTTGTTGTTTTATCATCCAATTCATTGTTATGGTAATATAAAATATCACAAATCTTTTGAAATAATTTTAGATATAAATCCACATTTGTGAATCCGTAGAGATGTTTTGATTCTACGAATAGATATAATGATAATAATGTTAGTTGGAGGACTTTGATGTTATTGCTCTGTTCACGGGCAGTCCATCATCATAGTGTCAGATGGATTAACTTACTTCAGAAAAATCCATATACTATACTTTAAATCCAATTACCACATGTATCAAAGGCATATAGGTGCAGGATAGCTGTGTTTATCTTTGGTGATGGTAGCACTCAGCCGTGTTTGCTGCTTTCTTAATGAGATGAGCACACAGCGACCGTGAGAGACTCATCATTTTTATGCACCGCTTGCTAGCACCTCATTACACTGAGGTCAAGATCTCCATATCTTTGATTCATGGCTGTTTGATGGTAGATGCATTGGCTCAATTGAGAACCAGGTTTTCCCTGTGTGTGTGTGTGTGTGTGTGTGTGTGTGTGTGTGTGTGTGTGTGTGTGTGTGTGTGTGTGTGTGTGTGTGTGTGTGTGTGTGTGTGTGCTTGCTTACGCATGCGTGTGAACATGTGCGTGTGTGTGTATGCATGCATGTGTGTGGGGATGCATGGGTGCATGTGTGTGAGTGTGTGTGCGCATGGGTGTGTGTATGTGCGTGTGTGTGCATGCATGGGCGTGTGTGTGTGTGTGTGTGTGTGTGTGTGTGTGTGTGTGTTGAACAGATGACTGGGAGCAAGCCTACCAGACGCTGGAGCAGGTAGTGAAGGACCTCTTCTCTCTTGAAGAGGAAAGGGAGGAAGAAAAGAGCAGTAGCAAAACGTCTCCTAATAGCTCCCTCACAGGTTTCTTTGTCTTTTTCTAGTCAGGTCAGAGACTCGAAGCTTTATGATGCTTCTTCTTTTTTTCTCTCTCTCTCTTTCAGCTGTCCCTTCGGGGTTGCTATAGTGAATAATCTATCTCCATTTAGTTATATCTCTTATATTGTCTACCCTCACACCAACTAACATCATGTCCTTTTTGCACTGCATCCATAAATCTCCTTTTTGGTTTTCCTCTCAGCCTCCTGCCTGGTAGCTCCATTCTCAGCATTTTTCCACCTATGTAATCATTGTCTCTCTGGACATGTTAAAACCATCTCAGTTTGGCCTCTCTGACTTTATCTCCAAAACTTCTAACATGAGCTGTCCCTCTGATGTCCTCATCCCTGATCCTTTCCATCATCATCATTGCCAAAGAGATTCTCAGTATTTTGAGCTCTGCAACCTCCAGTTCTGCCGCCAGTCTTTTCCTTGTTGCCACGGCCTCTAAATCATACAACAAGGCTGGTCTCTATCGGTTTTGTTAAACAAGACTCTCCAAAGTTATTTCAACCAACACATCAAAGTCTGTATATGTCTTCAGGTCACAGTCCAGCTGAAAGAGCTACCTCAGCACTGTCTGAATCAGGATTTGGGCTACCTTCTTCACTCTCTGCATCAGCTTCTGACCCCTCAGGTTTCACCTGCAGATCCTTTAAGATCCAGACAGAGCTGAATCCTGAGAGGACCCTTGCTGTGAGTTTACATATGCCAGATGAAACACCTACCTATAACTGAATTTATCAGTGCATCTGAAGTCAAATTTATGGAAAAATAACATTCAGTAAGCATGTAAGGGGATGGATGTTTTATCTACCTCTTGTTTCTCCTCACATTTAACTCCTCCATCATACTCCTTCTACAGGAGCTAGCTTCCATCAGGAGGCGAGAGCAGCCAGTGAGAGAAGCTTTTGTTGGGAAGCGTCCAGGGGTTCTCAGTCAGCTCTTTAAAAGGTACGAATAAGTGGCAGGTACTCCACCTAGCTCTATTGTTTAATTGTAAGTAGGCACTCTGTTGGGCCAAATTGGTGTAATTGCAACACTTGTCATAATAACTGCAGTTTGATGGCTTGTTTTGAGTTTGACATTGAGGGTGAAGTAGCAGGTGTCCAAATTATTTGATTGTAACAATCCGTTAACAAGATTGAGGCTTTTAGCTGTGCTTTCCACTCACTTGTTCTAAAATATGCAGTCACCAGCTCTAACCACAGTTCAGTGAAAGACAACAAGATGGAGTAATGCTATAAAAATTGTTCTTTTGTGTAAAATTGTAATCATTACATATAGATTAGTCACATTTGTCTTTGTTTTCTTGTGTTTTTCTCCAAGAAAACCATCATCACAATATCATCAAGATCCTGGTGCACATTTTGTTCAAAAAGACAACAGGTGAATAATATTTACAACAACAAAATACTCAATACATTTTATCACAGAGTTCTAGTCTTAAGTAATGATATAAGAACACAAAAGTACTTTGGCTAAGTGCAAATTATTTATTAGCATTTCTAAAGACCTCTTTTTAAAACTCTTACAAGGCCTGAATGGACTAATACGAGCAAACACACACACACACACACACACACACACACACACACACACACACACACACACACACACACGCACACACACAGAGCAATAAACCAACTCATAAATTCAGATTTAATGGCTCTGGCTATTTTTGACTCCTCTCTGAATACACTTACACTCAATAAACAAGCATACTGCTCAGATCAAATCAGATTAATCAGACATGCTATAATTAGTGCCATTTGTGTGATGCTGTGTGCCTGTACAGCAGCGGCTGCACGACGGATGTAATTACAGTATTTATGTATATTTTTTGAATCAGAAAAACATGATGAGTACACATTGATCTGTTCCTTTTTGGCTCAAACCAACATGTTCTCATCAGAATCAATGTGTTAAATACCCTCAGTGTGTGTGATTTGCAATACTCACCCCTTCAGTATTTCAGTGCAAGAATCCAGACATCAGTCTGCTTGTTGAGACATCACTTAAGAGGGTGTGTATCACCTGTGCATTTATCTCACTTAGTGTAATAAATACAGACAGGTTATCAGACAAGGGGCCGGATTTATCTGGATCACACTGTGTGATTTTCGACCGTCGCACAGGATTGTTCATGTCACACTGTGAGAACTCCAGAAAGGTGGCAAACTGCTCAGTGCAAGATTTCTGAGTCAGGCTGCACAACGTCTCGCTCCGGCAGGACACACGACGTCATGAGCACACCTCCCAAAAGCATTCGTCACTAAGCCGACCGCTAACCAAAACAAAGGCTGAAAAGATTTTTAAAAAGCGCCGCCGTTAACAATTATTTTTAGCGTCACCTCATGACCCAGCTCATCCTCCTCAAAGAAGAAGGATCGTTTTCAAAACCCTTGCTTTGGCCGCAGACTCCGGCTGCAGGTCTCCTTTTCTTGTCTTTCAGCTAACCAGCAGATCTGTCTGCTGGTCATTCATCTTTCTCCTCCTTTAAACATAAAAACCCACTAAACTACAGAGAAGTAACTATCTGTCACAGCTCTCTCTAATATCTAAACCTTTGCCCTGGATTCTGTCTCACAGTTCACTCCGCAGCTCCGTGACATCTCATCACACTAGCTGTCACGAAACGCAGCTTCCTCTGTCCCTCTGCAGTAAAACCCTACTAAACCATCCTTATCAGCTGAATGTGTGAAATATCCATAAACAGAAAAGGGATCTCATGTTTTGTGTTTTATTGTTTATATCCATGAGCTCACCTCCTCTCAGCTCTCACAAATCACATAATCATGGTTTTCACAATTCAGCTTATGGTCTAAAAATGTAGTTTAATTATTTTAGTATAACTCTGGTTTAACTTGGGCTATTAACAAAAATAAAAACTGGTTTGTAGTTTGTAATCTGCATTTTAAACATAAATTGAAACCGAAGCTCAGAGAGGCGGAGTCTTGCTGCTGCGGCGTCCCAAAGGTGTGTTTTAATTGGTCGATTGCAGACGTCGTAGATTTTCAAACATGCTTGTAGACTGTCGGAGGCTGTCTTTGGTCGTGAGACAGCTCAAAAAGTTGTCAGACTGTGTTCTAGACGATGTTCATTGCATTTTTCCCATTTTTAACATGTCTCATTTTGCTGGTTTCTCTATTTTTGGACTAAGTTTTAGGTCACATTTAGATTAAAAAAAAGTGTCTATACATTTTTCTTTTTTTCTGTATTTTCTTCAAGATTATTTAGTTGTTCTTGAATAAATCGATTAAATCTTTACCCAGTAATCCCTAACAGAGGATTGTGTTGTACGCTTTGTTCTGTTGTTTATAGAAGAGTCTTGATGTATAAACTAAATGTTAATTACCTGTAATTTATGACAGATTTATCTACGCTTCACATTTTGCTTACACAACATTTCTACCACACTTGAACTCCACCTTAAACCCTTTCTTCACTTGTTTTTTTTACCTTAATGTTTATTTGTGATTTTGTATTTCTCTTCCTCTTTCTTTTGTTTATCCAACTAGCAGCTCAGACGAGTCTTGTGCCAGCTCATCTTTGACTGTGCCCAGTTCAGCCAGTGTTTTAGGTAAACCTCTAGATGAGTCCGTCCTCATTCACAGCTTGGACTCATTCAAAGGTTAGTGTTGCTTTGTTGCTGTTGAAATCATTTCAGATTTGTGATATGTATTTATATGTATATACACAGTGTGATTGATATATATATATATATATATATATATATATATATATATATATATATATATATATATTAGAAATCAATAACAGATTGGTTAAAAAATTTGTAAGTAAACAGTTCAACTGATGGCAGAAAGTTCTCAAAAGTCATTTACAAGTCTCCACATTATTGCAAGTATTAAGTTAGATATTCCCCTTTCAGAATATGTAATATCAGGTCAGACGTCTGACAGGCCACAACCAGGGATCGATGCATGCACTGCTGTTGGATCTCCTGCTAACAGTCGCCCAGGATCCAGAGACTATTATGAGCAACCACCAACTGTTATTGGGGCAAATATCTCTGCAGTGTCCAGGCCAAATCCATCACCCACACCCAGCCTTGACCTGGGATTGAAAGTGAAAGGAAATGAAAACATGGAGGAATAATTTAAAGAAGGTTCTTGCCCCTAAGACAAGTTTGCAAATATTCTAACATGCTATTTTTTGTAACAGTAAAAATGTCAGTAAATAAGCAACAAAAAACATGTTTTTTTTTTTTCTGTAGTTGCTAAGTTAGCCATTAACCACCAAACCTAGTTTGTCTCATTTTCACCGCAACAGAAACAAGCTGTAAATTGGATACATCCAAGTCAAACACTGGAGGTTAGATTTGACTGTCAGAACTTGCCCCTTACTGTGATCTATTATCCATGCTGTAACATGTCTAGATATTTTTGCTGTAATGAATGATTACCATAAAATAAAGTAGCTACATCCTAATTACTGGCAACGTTGTGCAGCTCATTTTTAGATAATTGCAGGCTGAATAGCCTAAAGGTATAGTTCAGACTCACAAACCGTCATAATAAACAGAGTAGCATCTTTAAGGTATCCACTCTTATCTCCTTTTTACATTCTAATGAACACCGTCATGAGTGAATATCCAAGGAAAGAGTAGTATGTGGTGCGTGTCATGTTTCTTTAGTAAAGCAATTATTTTCCTGACAGCCAACTGGTATTGTATTTTCTTCTGCTCAGTGATCTCATCAGCTCAGCTTTTCCGCTGCAACCCAGATACTCATCTTCAATGTGCAGCATGAAGCTCTTGTCACTGCATGATAAATACATCATTAATCTTTATCTCATCCACGGGGATTATTTATTCATCTGGAAATGCATTCACATGGACGTAGTTGACGGTTATTAACACTGCGCCGTCTCAAAGAAGTTATTGTGTTTTTGACACTTTATGTCCTCCACGCGTTGCCCATATTTGTTCTAAGGCATCTATGTGAAATTGGCATCATGGTAATTAGTGATTCTTAGCTAATAGAAATTGTCACCTGCCACAGATGTATGCATTGCTTATTAAAACAGTCCTTCGCATGTGGATTTACACACAGTATGGATCCTTTGTTTCCTGGTGCACACACACACACACACACACACACACACACACACACACACACACACTCTCTCAGCACACCTGGCCATTCATCACTGTCTGTCTTCCTCTGAGGCAGCAGATGTTGCAGCACTGTCATAATTCTTTGGAAGTTCGATGCCAGACTGTGTCTTTAGGGCTCCTGGGATCTAACCTACTTACACTGCAGTATGCACCCCACTCCAGCTTATCAGGGACTAGCATGTTGCCTTCCTGTGCATTAACATTGCACTAGATAGGTAAGTATCTCAGCCATTTCACAAGTATAAAATAACACGAGAGAACTTTTCATATCTTTACAGATGTCTATGTTTGTTGTGTTTGAACTATGAACTCTTTTTCTGGCATATTATACTAAAATTTGTATTTATGTCTGTTTGTTTTAGTTCTGTACATCAGAGTTCTGTGAGCACATCAGACAATCAGATCATCCCACCGTTTTCCGTCAAACATGTCCCAAGCTTCTCCACTCAGAGTAAGTTCTCAAAACTCACATATCTAGAAAGGGGACCACGCTTTCATCAAGAAACACACGTTCATCTGAGTTTTATGTGAGGGTGAAAGAGCTATTCTAGCACAGATATGCACAAGCACGTTATCAATTTTCACAGAGCCGAGGAACTCTGTGTTATGAATACATCTTTTATGATATTTGCAGATTTCAAGCAATGAAAGGAAAAAGAATCAATCTATATTTTTTCTTCTAGGAGGAAATGGTAAGGAGAAGCAGGATTAGATTGTAAGAAATAATTGGAAGCAGCAGTGCGTCAGTTTGCCTAAGACAGCGGATTTCATTTTTAGCTCTGGGGCTACTCATAGGTCATGAAAAGATATCTTCTGTGTGAATCAGTTTGATAGAAATGTTTCTCCAAACCCTAGAGATGCATTCCTCATAAAGAAATGAATTCTCTAAATTTATATTAATTTTCAAAAGTAATTTTATTCTTAGGTATGGACCAGGCTTGCTTCTCTTTTTTAACAGTTCGAACTGTGAGTTATAACACTTACCTTTTTAAAATATATGGAGCCAATCACAGCTCGTGTTTCTTTCAAACAGCAGCCCCTTTGGTTCAGATGAACACATTATTGAGTCTTATGATCTGTTTCATTGTGTTTATAGTGACAGTGATTTGTTACCAGGTAAAAAGGCTGCAGTTGTGACTTGTTCACCTAATTGAGTTCTTCCTTTTAAACTGCCTTGTGAAAAGACAAGTGGAGGAAGGGACGGTTATAGAGCTGAAAATGGACTTTTAAAGTGGTCTGTGAAAGTAGATTATTTATGTTACTGCAGTTAATATAACCTACTGACAGAGCACAGCAGGACGAGTGAACAGCAACTATTCCAAGCTGAAAAGTAAACACTTTTCCTACTTTGAAAATATGTCAAAGTTGTTGAATTTGCAGAAAATGATTTTTTTTACCATACAAGACAAAAAATTCAAGAAAAAAGACAAATAACCTCTGTATGTTAGAAGTAATGTTAAGTAAGTCTAATATTTAGGCCCTTGAACATTCCCGTACCATTCCTGTGAGGTGAAACCCTACAAGGGCTCAGGTATGTGTCTGTAAACTATTGTAGCAATCACAGCTTGTTAGTGCATTCAGAAGTAAAATGCTTTAAAAAATAACTGGATCAGGATAGAAAGTGTATTTTACACAATGTCCAAGCTTTTTCAGAAAAAGTTATTCTATTTGAACAAGTCCAATCCTTTTAATATAACAATCTAAATGAGTCATAGACCAAGGTGACTACACCCACAATGTCCCAACTGATTACTAAGCATCCTTTAGGATTTTACTTTAGTGCTCATTTTCTAACACTGGTAATCTGCACCATGTGAGCAGTTCCTTCGGCTGAGGAGCTGCATGCTTGAAGCTGTTAGAAATGAGAAAGACTTCCACCGTTTATACAGGAACACGCTGGATTTATCCGTTTCTCTCTGTGTGCCTGCGTGGAGGATGTTGGTGGAGGTCAGGCTGCTGATATAATGAAAGCCTAAATGAAACACACACCTCTGCATTAACTCTGTCGCATGATGTGCCGCTACACTTGGTAACCATGGTGACAGCGCTCTGCAGTCCTCCTCCCCTATACATATGAGTGTGTGTGTGTGTGTGTGTGTGTGTGTGTGTGTGTGTGTGTGTGTGTGTGTGTGTGTGTGTGTGTGTGTGTGTGTGTGTGTGTGTGTGTGTGTAAAACTTGTCATTGTGTTCCCTGCAGACAGATTAATTCCCTGCCAGATTCATTCCCTGTCAACTCGTTGAAACAAAAGTTTGGGTTTTAATTAGTTGGGTGCAGCATCTCACTTCATCTGTCTGTTTTTATAGGCTGCTGCTTCACTTTCACTGCCTCCCATCCCCCACCGTCACTCTTCCCCCTGCTTTTTAGTGTAATTAAAGACAGATAATAGAACTGTAATGGTGTGTAATTGCAATAATCAATACAAAATTCAGACTTATTTGCTTCCAAATCAGATTTACAAGATGGTTTTGAAATCCTGGTGACAGCTTGGAGTCTGTTTGTGCTGCAGTTAGACATTTTTTCCCTCTTAATGTCAAATATAAAGTAAATTAACATTTAGTGACTGTGTTTGAATTTTGGAACCAGGTGACACCAAAAGTTAACAATTTTTAGCTTTTACCACAACTAACTGATATTAGTAAATACAAACATGGCAACACCACAGTCAGTTTTATCAATGCTGAGCTGCACATTGTATGATGTGACTAAGTTGTGTCCAACATCACATGACATCATATTGATGGCCCTGAATCAAGAATGTCTCAGCTGTACCTGATTACTTCAATTCTCTTTCCTTGGTGTTGCTGCGTCCTGCTCTGCTTGTTTCTGTGGTCCGAGGAGCTAAAATATGAGCAGAGGAGTAAAGAAGAAGATTTTCAGGATGTTCTAATTAGGACGAAAATAAGCCGTGTTTTTCCATGCAGGGTAAGTCCACCTTTTATACTAACAAAATTTCTGCCAAGGCGTTCTCGCTACATTGCAGCAACTGGTTGCTGACTCCAATGTTCTCCTATGTTGACACTTGAGATGCAATTAAATGTGTGAAAAATGTCATTATCCGTCAGTCAAAAGAGCATTTGTGCAGAAAGTTTCCAACATGGTAAAGTAATAAACTAACAGTGTGATAGATGGTTTAGTTGTATTATTCTTATAAGATCTAGTAAAATACACCATACTGAATTAAAAAATGACATTTCATTATTATGTTTATGTTTAAAGTTCCAAAGTTTCAAAAATATTAGTTATCAGTTAACAGAAGCTTAAAAGAAAATATACACTCAAATGCTGCCACTCTTTTTTGGCTGTCAGTCTATTTAAAGCATATAAGTGTTGCTAGGTTTTGTGCTGAGTGCAGTGACAAGCAAAGTGTAAGCTGTTATTTGTTGAGTTTGCAAGCATTTACCCACATTCACAAGTCCATGTGCTTTTTTACACTCTGAATTCTATTTCCTTCTTTAGATTTTATTTAGTTCTAACCAGCAGGAAGAATTTTAATTTGTACTATTGTACATTGTTTTCTTATTATCTCAAATTAAAATACCAAATGATAAAAATAATATTGAAAATGTTTGGGGACTTGGGCAACTGCTCACACCTTTTCACCTTTTGCCACACCCCTTCATATAATCCGTGCATGTGCACAGGCACGCAAACGTTTGGTCCTGGGTAGTTTTAATGAGTCTGTGAGGGTGAACACCTGATGTCCAAAGTTTGTAACATTAAATATTTATTTATTAGATATTATCCAGCATGTGCACATTTTAGCACTGTGCAAAGTGTTAGCACCTTTAATTACCATTGTAAAACAATTGTCAAGTTTTGATTCAGTTTGCTGTTCAGATATGTCATAGCTACATGATGTAAATATTATTTGACTGATTAGCACGCTGACTCCTGCTATAACCATATTTCATCATGCAGAAACCGTAGTCTTAAAGCAGCTGCTGAGCAACCTGAAAATCAAACCTAATGTATCAAATCATTGCATCATAAAACTTTTTATTATTTCTGTGATTAAAAATTCCATTTTCCAGCTGTTAAAGGGGACCCAGGAAGGAATTAGCAATGTTTTGTGGTTAATAATCCTAGTAGTTATAATATAATCATTATAATATAATCCAGAAGTTATAAAAACTAAACATTTTACCATCCAGCCTTCGCTTAGGTCAATAACTTACAACTGATCTAACACAAATTAGAAAAGAAAAAGTCATTAATGTTGAAACTTAGAAAGAATTGGCTACCCCAACTTTTATTTTAGCACCTAATTTTACTGTATGTGTTAATAAATCTGAAGCATTCATTCACTTGACGTTCATTGTTCATTGTAATACTATTGTATTAGAGTCTGGTTCTTATCAGCCAAATAACGTCACATCCTTTATTATTTAAAGCTTCAGGGGTTTTCACATGATGTATATATTTAAAATTAAAGTCAGGAAAGCAGTGATGTCCTAAAAGTCATCATTTAAAAAAAAAAAACTGGACAGAGAGGGGAAATCCACACAAATAATTTGATTGTTTCACTTCCTCTGACTGGTCCTCTATCCTCAGGCTGGGTCAAATGGAGTAAAATCTCGGAGTGGTGAACATGTCCAGACAAGCACTCCTACTAGAACAATACTGCCCCCTCCAGGGTGGGCTGACCTCACCTGGGAGCAGGACATGGACTGCCTGAGGGGAGTCATGGTTCAGCTCTCTTAACTTGATTATGTCTCAGAGTTTTTGTCCTGGTGTGATGTTTCACTGAAAGTGTGTGTGCTTAGGAAAAAAGAGGGTATGCGTTTGGTCTTTGATCAGGCTTGTGACCTTTGCTTTGCCGTAGGCTCCTCAAAGGGTGACAACAACAGATTTCATAAACCTTTTATCCCTTCAAAAACACCCATCCTCATTTTTGACCTCTTCTTTCTGTCTATCTCTTTCCCTCTGCTCCATGCGGTTCTGACCAGATGTTATTCTTCTCAGCTTGTCATGGTCCTATATTTTTATATCTCCTACTTTTACTATTACTTATTTATATTTGTTCCAGATTATTGTTTCTGTTTTTCACTGAGGTTTTAGCTTCATGCTTTAATAGTATACATTCTGTGAAATTTTGTGAGCCACCTAATATTTTTCCGCTTCATCCAACTATCCAACAATTTTTGGTCCTGGGGCACCCAGCTGCGTCTTGCATTTTAAATTAAACCAAAGTTGGACATTTCAAAGGGCACACAATGGGGGAGAGGAGTCAAAAGAGGCGATTACAGCAGTGGTGGATTATACAGACAAAGGTTATGTGACGGTTGTGAAAACCCCCAGGTGTCCTTGTCTTTGAAATCCTTCACCTCGCCATATGTTCTTATTCATAATGAATTTGTGAGGTCTGTTTACTGCTCACTAGTCAAGATTTGTAGAATTCAGTGCACCAATTAGACATATAGAAAGGAAATGCTTCTCAAAAATGATTAAGTTTAGTAAATATTCAAACTTACCTGCAATTGATGAATGTGACAAGGGCAATAGTCTTGGGGAAGATGGTGCTCTGGTTTCTACACTGTTGAACCACTTTCACTCTAGCACATCTCAGCTAGCTGTCATGTTTTTATGCAAAAACTAAGTTTGTGAATTTTTATGTAGCTGTTTGTTTATTATGCACATCAAGTATCAGGTTTCACAGTCACAGTTAGCCCCCCAGCCATTTTCCATTCCACTGAGTACTGTGCTACTGCAGAGCTTCAGTGACCTGCTCTCAGCAGGCTTGTCTGTGCTTGTGTGTGTGTGTGTGTGTGTGTGTGTGTGTGTGTGTGTGTGTGTGTGTGTGTGTGTGTGTGTGTGTGTGTCATCAGCCGCTGTGCATGCAGTGTTGTACAATTCTGATAGACACATTCCACTGAGTTCACTGCCTGGTTGATGAAGGTTGAGTTTGTTTATTTATACAGCAAATGCACACTCCTCAGGTATTAGCTTGTGTCCTGGTGCAGGCTAAAGCCAGTAGGGCATGAGACTTAGCACATAGTCAGAGGCAACACATTTCTGTAATGAATGTAAGACCCGCGCACACACACTGCAAACATTCAATGTACAGAAATGGGGAATAAAGAGTCTCGGATGAGAGTACATTCTTGCTCATCGTCAACAACTTACAAATGGAGACTGAACACTTGTTGGATTGTTTAGGAATTTTATTATTTCTAAAAACAACTTTCAAATGTTTAAAAAGCTCACAAAACCAACAGAACTAGACAAAAACCACAAGGGCTGTTAGTATTTAAGGACCTCGTCAAACCATTTTTTTCCTCATGTTGTCACATTTTACTGGGCAAAAACTTTCAACATTAACACGCTTACAACTAGTTTCATCTTCTCACTCAAGTACTTGGATTTACAAATCTGTAAGATAACCTCCAATGTTTGTACTTGGCAGCCAGATGTCTGAACTGCCAAATAAGAGATGTCAGTTCAACTCTAAAGGGGACAAAAATTACTAACATACAGCAGGGTATTCTTTTTTAATTTAGTGAACAAAACGGATTTATACACTGATCAGTCATAAGATTCGAGCTACCTTCCTAATCAGCACAGGTCCTTCCTTTGTCACAAAGCAGCTGCAACTAGTCACGGCATGAACAAGGAACACCTGGGGATGCCTTGGGGTAGCAGAACATCAGTGACACAACCACAGAGTTCATTGTGAGACAGGTTCTCGGTGGAGTTAGCTTGCCCTTTGCTGATGCCCTCAGATCCTTTCAGATAACTATCTGGGGAGTTTAGAGCCAGGATGAACATCTTACACTTTTTGTTGTCTCCTCTGGAGTCATTTTGCAGAATTTATTGTTCTCTGGGACTGTCTCATTCCTAACTATATATTATATTACTTTTATGAATGTAATATATTTTTGCGATGACAAGGTGTGTCTTTTGTACAGTTCCGTACAGTAGAGTCAGATTATTTAAGCCCCTTGCATCTTTTAGTTGAGTATCAAATTAATTAATTTTTATACTATCATTTTAAGGGCTGTGAAAATAACTTCCATTCATTATTTTTACAACCATTGTGAGCTTGAACACTACTAATTACTTCAGCTTAGGCTTTTGCTGCATCTCAGTTCACTCCTCTGCTGCAGTCTATCCCAACAAACCGGCCGTGCTGCCTCAGCTGCCTTTGTCCTATGTTGCCTGTTATGGAAATTTTATATTTCATTACTTTACTCCTATTAACAAATCTATTAACGGAATGTCCTGAAAGCACACACACACATTATTGTCCTCCCATACACACACAGACGCAGTCTCTTTCACACGTGATCCACTCCCATTCCTTTCGTATCTGTTTGTATGAATAAACTCTGTGACCAGATGTTCGGGGCATTTGCCCTGTGCACTTGCCACAAATCATGATTTGGTTTTATGTCTGCCTCATTGTCTCCTTTTCTCTCTCTAGCTGCAGGAAATGGGTTTATTGATCAAATATATTGATAAAATCCCTAACAAAATTTGATCCTTCGAGAGCCGGGGTCCTGTCACCTCGCGCCGCCAAGAACCGACACCGGAGGACTGTCGACAACCTAAACCTCCTCCAGCGCTGAGTTTTGCTGGGGGGGGCGGTGAAGGTCTTGACGTCGCTAGGAGGAATGCGGATCCATGAACTCAAGCCCTGAAGTGGAGAGATTTGGTGAGACAAGTTTGTTGTTTGTTTTGTCTTTGTGGTACCGAGAGAAAATCCTAGGTGACCAGAGAATAAAGTGGTGACGTCCGCTGTGAATAGGATGGTTTCGACGGGTTCTTTGAATGCTGTCTGTATTTAGCTTGGTTTTGTGCATTTTAGCCGAAAGTAGAAATGCAACTCTGGTGTAAGAAATATAAGGAGACCAGTAAAATAACTATTGAGATTACAAATTGCTGCCGTCCATCGTGAATAGGATGTTTTAACAGATTAATGCTGT